TAGGCAACCTTCGGCACTCCAGATGTTTTGGACTACACCTCCCATGATGCTTTACCAGCATTATGGGTGTAAGAGCATTATGGGCAATGTAGTCCACAACATCTGTAGTGCCAAAGGTTGCCTATCCCTGCCCTAAACCAATATACTGGTTAATGATCATAATATAATAGGCTATATGATGGTACATAATCAATATCTGGTAGTTATAGCTTTTCTCAAGACATTTCCACGTAACACACGGTATAATTTGTCACCCCATATGTAGTCATAAATCTTCACAGCTCTCATTTTCGCTATACAGATTTTCACAATCTGCTGGGAGGACTTTTTGGTACTATTCATGCAGATGTGTTAATACAGTTTCTCACATTTTTGAACGTGTCTATTCAATGTGGTTTCTCACATTATATTTCCACTGTGTTGCGCGTATTACCTCAAACCCACTATGATGTTTGATGAAAAGAAGAAAAAACACTTTGCATAATACAACAAATATTCCATTTCAATTAAATGAAACAATTCAAATCAAGTATACTTTATAATAATCATAATAATAATCATAATAATAATAATAAAAACATATTGATACATATAATCGTCCTGCCATGTTTCTCTGCATTTATCACATTGTCCATTTTAGTAGGTAAATAGCAGCTTAGTTTTTTAAACATTTAATGGTTTATTTGTATTACATTAAATGAAACTGAGATCATTTATCAACTAAAAAAGCATCAAGCAATTTCACAGAAAACTACATGTAATGTGATTCAGAATGACTGCGCATTTCACCCCAAAAAATCATTCAGATTTCCAACAAATCTTATTGTTCCATTCAAACCGCCCCATCCGAGGCTATGTAGAACAAAAGCAATTATGGGCACAAAGCTGTAAAATTTTAGTAATTAGCAATATATATTATTTACCATATGATTGCTATAATTTTAGAATGTTGCTCCAACATTGCTCTATAGTGTTTGTAATACTCAAGCTTGTTTCTTAAGCTTAAACTCTTGTTAGTTTATGGCAGGCTTCCCCAAACTACAATTCCCATGATTCTGTGAATTAAATAGATAGGCTGAGAATCATGGGAGTTGTAATTCAGCAACATCTGGAAGGCCGGAGTTTGGGGAAGCCCACACATCATACATGGGGTCCATAAAATAATGTTGGTGTCATTATCATACTCTGCTTAGTAGAACAGCCCTTCCATTTAGCAATATATACTTACACGTGACAGCTAGCTGTAGTCAACACCCAGTTGGTTTTAATTAAAGTCCCTCCACATAGGCTAGTTTTAGATTGAATTAAAGCCATGTATGGTCTTGAGTGAGGATTCGCTACTCTTCCGCCTATGATTTCAGAGCACCAACCTGCAAAATGTTAAGCGTTAATTAAAATCTTAATGGGGCAAACATTTTTTTTTTCCCATTGTGACTGAGAGCATCTGCACATGGCACTTAAAGGGTTATCTTGAAAAGATGCAAACATTCGCAACATTTAATTATAATTAGTTCTTCACTGATATTGAATTTGTTCACTAAACAGTGAATTTTGTTGGACTGAACAAAGTAAATCTCCTTAGGGAACTATAGAATTGTAGATATTTTCTAACTGTCAGTTTGTCTGAATTGTATTTTTTGGTTCCCAATCTTGTTAAAATAACTTACATATCAAGGCTTTGGTACATATGCATGGTTTATCCTCTCTACAGTGTTATCACAAGTTTGTACTTACCTTCTTCAATGAGCAGAATGACTGCAACACACATCTGTATCATAAAGAAATTCATGCTTGTCCTATTCAGGTCTTCACACAGTGCAATGAAGTGCCTACATTATATAGGTATGGAAACCACATTTATTAAAATGAGTTGTGCAATACAGCAATACAGTTGGTTCATTTATCCTTTGATTTTTTTTTGTAGACGTACAAATGCCTTTGCCTACTCTTAATGTGGTTACACCAGGAGCACAGTTGCAAGTTTCACTCTTTTATTTGGTCGATTTCATATGATTGCATAGGAAATGTACCAACACGTTATAAAGAAAACATGTAAATACATTTTATATATAAAATGCAATTATCATACTTGTGACAAAAGTCTTTAAAAAATTTTCTGTGCTAGAGATTTACAAGCATTCTTGAGGTCCCGCAACAGCACATAGAGGCTTTTCAACAAAGACAATATCTTGGCACGTGGAAACTGCTCATTTTTTTTATAATAAACATGTTGAGATAGAATACTTTAGGAGATAGGAAAACATAAGTGGTAGGTATCTAATTCTAAGGTGACTGACAGTATATAAAGAGGTATAAGGTATACATCAAAGTAAACAAGCTGAATATCTATGTGATAGGGCAGGAGATATCCACAATGCTCAGGAGAGATAAGGAAGCAAGAGTCCCCTAAATAGCCTAATATCAGCCGATGTGCATTCTGCTTAGTTGCTGGAACTGCATGTGAAAGTCCACCAAGGCCAAGATCCGGGCAGTGTCCAGTAATGTAGGAAGTGTGGGTGCACTCTGGAACCTTCCTGGCAACATCAGCTCAACGTCGGAAACAAGATAGGTGGGTGGTGAGTAAAGGGCTGTTGTATAGTCCCTGGCTTGGGAGTGATCAGTAGCCACCTGCAGCAGCCCAGTTGTAGGAGCCCACTGCGTGCGGGTAGGATGTTCAGCCTCTAGTGTAGGGGGCCGTGGCGGTATGCTCTGACTACCCAGAGCATCAGCTGTCAGCAGCCCAGCTGGGACTCCCTCTCAGTTAGTAGCGGGTAAGGAATGTTGTAGGGACAGGTGGTAACCCTTTAGTCTCTCCTCTATGTGGAGTCAGAAAGCTGCAAAGATGGCGTCCAGCCATTGGAGAGTAGCACGTGGCTGCACTTCTATAGAATAACCATGTGTAGTCTCTGCCATTTTAGGGTTGTAGGGTTAAAGGCCTCTGTTGGGATTGAGGCCATAGAGCATGAGAATGGCCCCGCCGGTCCATGGATGGGGAGGGGGTCGAGAAACTATATTCAGGTTTCCACCCTTGTGTGGCAGCAGGAGAGAGGCTGTCTCTGCCGCCCCAGCCATGCTTGTAGGATGCTTGGTACAGTTGGTAGGATTTCTCAAGAAGGTCTGCATATGTGGTATCAGCAGAAGCCCCTTATTGTCACCTCTTGCCTGGCAGCCCTAAAATGTCAAGGAAAGGCTGTTTCTGTTTTTTGCCTTGGTGAGCAGGAGCTGCTCTGACTAGCATCCGCTCAGTTCAGCGGTCAGACCCCCGCGATAAAATTATTTAAATCCAGTAAATAAAATAAATTGTTAAGTGTTTATATATGAGTCTATCTTTTGAATATTTGGTGTAGTGAGATGTAGTGTACATCAGTTGGTCATGTAAATGGCTTTCTAGTCCACGATTAAATATTAAAGTAGCAGGATGTGCGAATTTATCTTTGAATTTATATTTCTGTTAATTGTTTTGCTAGCACAATGTATAGTTTCAAGGTACAAGGTTTGAATGAATTTGGAGGAATATTTTATAAATCTTTTGGATTCTTCACTTACAAACTCCTTTCACGTGACCATGATTTGACGTTGGACAATATTGGTAAAAGCTAGAACTGTCATGGAGTTTGGTAACTACAGGCCTATCTCCTTAATATATTTTGATGTGAACATATGGAAAAAATATTGCCAGAGCATTGCAAGCCATAATAAAAACTCACAATCCACGTGGATTGGGTGAGTTTAGTCCCTTTAGTTAGATTTAGGCAAACACAATGAGGAACGTGGATCTGATCTGGGCAGCTAACTCTGCAATGGTTTCTCCGATCTCTCTGGATGCAGATAAGGCGATTGACAGAGATGTGTGATCCTATATTTTTGACCTACTCAAACAATTGGGACCCCCCCAGGAGCGGACTGAGAACCCTCAGGGCCCCCGGGCAAAATAAATCAAGGGCCCCCTTACAGGCCCCACCCATACTCTGCAGCAAGCGCCACCCTTGTCCCGCCTCCATGCACCGCCTCCAGCCACACCCTACACAATCTTTAGACACAAGGAACAAAAGGGCAATAAGCCCTTCGAGGCCCCAGTAGAGACTACAATTGAGGGCTAATGGGCCATGGAGGGGGGTCTTTCTAGCGGAGGCTATCTCAGTGTCCTTTAGAGAGTGTGTTAGAAAGAATCCCCTCCAAGCCCCATTAGAGACTACAATGGAGTCTAAAAGGCTTGGAAGGGGGTCTTTCTAACAGAGGCCATCTCAGCGTCCATTAGATATCCCCTGCTGGAAACAGTCGCCTCCAGGCCCCAGTAGAAACTACAATTGAGGGCTAATGAGCCATGGAGGTGATTTCTAGCGGAGGCTAGAGTCTAATGAGGCCTGGAGGGTGGTCTCTCCAACACTCTGGTTCCTATTCACAAAATAGCAACACAACATAGCTCGCTGATACCTAAGCCAAGTTGGCTCCTCTTACCTTAATTACTGTTGCTGGCTGGCAGTCTGTGGGCTTGCTGGCTGCGGCTGGCAGGCTGTGGGCTTGCTGGCTACTGCCGGCAGGCTGTGGGCTTGCTGACTGCGGCTGGCAGGCTGTGGGCTTGCTGACTGCGGCTGGCAGGCTGCGGCTGGCAGGCTGTGGCTTGCTGGCTGTAAGCCTGTGGCTTGCTGTAGGCCTGTGGGCTGGCTACTGGCCTGTGGGCTGGCTAACTGGCTGGCTACTGGCCACTGGCTACTGGCCAGCCTGTGGGTTGGCTGGCTGGCTACTGGGGCACTTGTAGATTATTTAAAGAAATAATCCATGCACAATAACCACTACTGCTCCAGAGTAAGTAGTCAAACCGTTTAAGAACAGTTTGACAACTTACCTGGGGTCTGCTGGGATATGAGGCTGTAGTAGGGAATAGGAGCAGTGGTGCAATGTGTGTGAAAGGTTCAGTGTGTGTGTGGGGGTGTAGTGTGTGAATGTGTAGGGTGTGTGGGCAGTGTATGTGTGTGGCAATGTTAGTATGGGGGGCTGTGTATGGGGGTCTGTGTGTATATGGGTGGGCAGTGTACACACATACACTGCCCACCCATATACACACAGACCCCCATACATAGCCCCCCATACTAACATTGCCACACACATGAGGCAATGTGTGTAAATGTGTATGGTGTGTATGGGGGCAGTGTGTGAATGTGTATGGTGTGTGTGTGGGGGCAGTGTGTTTATGGGGCTAGAGTTCACTCTCACCACTGCGACCACCAGGAATCCATGGGGGTTACAGTGTTGAGTGATCTCTAGCCCGTAGCTCCAGGGCTAGAGTTGACTCTCGCAAGAGCAGTAACGTTGCCATGGTAACCGCGGCAACGCTCTGTGCTCGCGCAAGAAGGACCCAGAGGAGCTGCAGGGTGAGCTCCCAGGTCCTCTCTTCCTCCCCTGCCCGCACGGTGCCTGCGGACAGGGGAGGGG